AGTGTAGAACTTATATAGTAATGTGTAAGCGGACTACTTAAATTAGGCACCAAAAGTGCATATGTGGCTAGTTGTAACCTTCAATGTAAGGTGAGTCTCTGGTGGCATGTCATGTCCTAATATACTTGAATAAAAACATCACTACTCTCAAGATAGAGACTTTAACTAAAAAAAAAAAATAAAGTTACTAGATTCAAAAAGAAGTTTTATATATAGGGTGATATTAATAAAAATAGGACAAATTTATTTAATAAATTTGTCTCATTTCTATTAATGTTACCCTATATGCTATAGCTAAGACCAATATTTGCAGTTAGTGCAAACTGTTAAATTGCTAATTATAAAACTATAACTCTAAATATTATAAATGCTATATGCAAGAATAAGAGCTTAGACATATTTATCTGCAGCTTAAACCTATTAGAATAACTAAGACTCATCTAAATTAGTTGAAATTTTCTAAATAATATTTATTACTTTAGTATATATTAGTAAGCTACTTATAAATTTCACTAACTATTTACACTATTAGAAGTTAATTATATCATTATAAAGAAAAGAAACCAAAGGTAAGATAAATTAAATAAGAAATAAAATATAATTAAAAAAGTAAAAAGTAGTGTTAATTAGATAAGCAAATAAATAAAAAAAGTTAACAGAATTATAAGAATATAGCTAAGACAAGTAGTATAGATTGAATAAGTAAATAGATAAGAAAAAGTTAACCAAAATATATAAATATTGCTAAAAAAAGAAACTATTATCAAGTTTATCAATAATTTTAGATATATTAAAAATATATATAAAGTTAGTTTCTGATATTGTAGATATAATAATATTAAGTTTTTTTGATAATATATTGGTTTGCTTGATTGAAGTATAACTTGTTAAAGTTTTTTTTAAGTTGAGTAATAGTTAGTTTAGAGATTTGAATAATATTGTAATAGGCAATAATTCTAGCTAAAATTTGTGAATCCTTGTTTGAGAAAAGATTTTGTTTAATGCTTCTTTAAGATTAAGATTAATAATTTCATTATTTGTTGCTTCAGATTTAAAGTAAGCTTTAAGATAGCAATAAAAGAAATAAGATATATATTTAGAATTAGTAGATGTGTTGTTTAGTTAGATAAAGTTTTGTTTAGATTAGTTAGCTAGTTTATAAAGTTTTTTAAAAAGTAAGAGTATATAGAATATTGCTAAGATAAATGTAGAAAGATTTAAGGTGGATATATATGAGATGGAGTCAATAGAAATAGAACAAATCTATTAGATAAATTTGTCCTATTTCTATTGACTCCATTCTATATATTGTTGAATAGATATAGTGTTAAAGAATTATTTAAAGTAGTAAGAAGTTAGATTGTAGATATTATGAGTTGTTTTTAGATTAAGAATTTTACATTTTTTCAAATTGGTACAGATATATATATAGTATATTGCTATTTTAGTAGTATAGTTTGTTTAGTCTTAAATAAATTAGATAGTTGGCAGTTCAGGTTTTTGAAGAATTATTTCTTGTTATCTGGCAGGTATGACGTATACACTGACAGAACCATATTATTGTCCAAATAAACTCTTTTTGACTAATAGTATACTGATAACTCAAATGATGGATATATAAATGACAAAGCAATTATTGTTTTGATACAACTTTTTCTTAATATCTACTTCAATGGTGAACAATAAATTACCAACCAATGAAGATGTTGCAGAACTTCTTAAAATTTCACGAGTTTACAATACAAATAAATGTACAGCAAAATGGGTATAGGCAATTAACAGATATAGAAAAGCATCCGATTATGAAAAATCTTTTGAAAGCATATCTGAAGTCATCGAACTTGAAAATTTTCTCTGCATATTTATCACATGGTTAAAACGAATAGATGGGAATAAATATAAGGCTAAAAGCATTCACAACTGTTATGCTTCTCTTGCATGATATTTAAAAGAACATTCAACAATTAAACCATGCAATATATGGGATTCCTATAAATTTGGAAAGGCCTTACGAATCTTAGATGATAAAATAAAGAAGCTTCAAAAGGAAGGATTAAAAGAAACTGATCAGTCTGCTGCACTTATGGTGGATGAAATTTTTCAAATTTTAGACCATGAATCAATATCTGGAAATGATAATGAAAGTTTAGTTCGACATGTATTTTTTTGGCTTTCACTACTTTGTGGTTTGCGAGATGGTAATACAGCCAAATTAAAAGTGAGTGATATAAGCTGTCAACCTTATGATGGGTTGTTTCTTGTATTTACACATGAAAAAAATAATCAACATGATGCCTTGAAATATAACAAATATAGAAAGTCAGCTGCAAGAAAATTACCAATTTCTTCTAATAATTCAAATAATCATTTTAAACCTGTTTATAATATTTTAAAAATGATTTCTCTCCATCCTCTTAATGCTGACGATGTGCTATTTTTAGAAACCTGTAGAGTTAAAAAAGGCATGTGCATACATATATATATATATGTTTATGCATATTCAATATACAGTACTAGTACATATATTAATATACTAATATTACTATTACTTTATTTTAATATACTGCTTAAGATTTACAAAATGGCATTTGGTTCAAAACTAGTTTTATAGGTGAAAAAAAATTAGGAACTATGATGTTGCAAATTGCAGATCTTACTAAAATCAACTTAGACAATGGATGCAAAATTACTAATCATTCGCTACGTCGAACAGCAATTCAAAGACTTAAGGATTTAAATATTCTAGAAGATGAGCGAATGGAATTTTCAGGACATAGAAGTCGTGAAGGAATAAAGGCTTACAATAACTCAAATGAAGATCAAAAGATTCAGAATACAGCTTTATTAATTCCACTTGATTATGAAGATTTGCTATATGAAGAATTTAACTATTTTTCTAATAATAGCATAAATTATTTAAATTTTAAAGATAATCCTGAAATTTATGATAGTACATATTTATTATACTATTTAACTTTTAAATAGTACAATATTTTATTAAATCGATTATTTTTTATTTTAGATTCAATTTTTATGACAGCAGCAGAAAACTATGCATTTGATAATGGGCCAGAACCATATAATGAATATTCAAATATAAATTACTCTAATAGCTAATCTATAACTAATAGCATATTTTAACATTTTGCTACTTTATAGATTTGAGTAATTCATCACCTATCCTACCATCAGCAAGATCGAATTATAACAAAAGATCAATCTTTAGATCCTGTATTCCAAGATTATCAAGCCATTGGTCTTCTTTAAAATCTGTCTCTAATTAAGTGACATCATATTATATACCAACTTTTCATGATATCAAAAAACTTCATGAATCTTCATCTGATTCTAATAATAAGCAGAAAATACATTACCATTTTCATTATCATTTGTAATATAATTTGCAATTAGCAGTTCCTTTATATATATAATTTACCCTGGGTATAACATTTATTATAAAATATATTTTATTTAAAATTGAGAATTTTAAAAAATTACAATTTGTATGTATCACATGATTTTAATAAACATCTGTGGCAATAATTAGAATTTTTCCATCAGAGTATACATAGTATCTGCCAGATAAGCTTCTTGTATTTATTATTAGTTGCTGTTGTTATTTGGTATTTAATATAATTGTAAACTTTTTGTTTATTAATTTTACTAAATTGTTTTTTATAATATATAAAAAAAATTTTGAATTCAAATATCAAATTGTGGTTTGATTAAATAAAAAAGTAAAATATGATAGTTTGTATTAAATTCTTAAAGGATAATATTTATAGTAATGTTAATATGAAATTTAGAAATATTGTGAATTTGTAAAATAGGAGTATTGCTTTTAAATTATTAAAAATATGATTTATATATATAAAAGTTTTTAAATAAATAGGTTTAAGTTATAAGTTATGAAAGAATTTTTGATGATTAATAGTTTAGTATTTATTATATAGAAATAGATAAAGTTTGGCAAGGTTTATAGTAATTTAAAATCATTTTTTAATTGAATAAGAAGAAATAAAATAATGTAAGTTAAAAAGTTGTTTATAATTTGTTTTATAAAAAAGTATATAAGTAAATTTGATAAGTTAGTTTTTTGTTATACTAAAAAGAATTTTGAAAAATATTTTGATTGCTTTGGTAATATGTAGGTTTTTGTTTAGAATTGTGTTTATAATAAATTTAGGTTTTTTGGTTACTATAGTTTGAATTAATAAGCTAAAATTACTTTTTATAATAGATTTGTTGATTGTTGTAAAATTAATAATAGAATCAGAATAGAAATCTTTAAGAATTGGTTTTAAGAAATTTAATGCTTAAATTTCAGATGTTATAAGTGTAAATAAAAAAAGTTTTCTAAGATGTGATAGCTTTTAAATCAGTCTAAAAAGTGATCTTATTAATTGTAATTTGTTTTTTTTAAAAAAATATTAACAGTAAGGCTAAGTTGTAATTTGTAGATTTATTTTAAGATTATAAATAATAATAATGATAAAAAGATGTTTAAAGTCATAAATAATTTAGAACAGAGATATAAAAAGAATTTTTTAAGTAGTTTATAGTATGAATAGAATGTTTTATAATATAGGTAGCAAAAAAAAGCAGATAAAAAGGATAAGAATTAAGTGAGAAAATTGAGTTTTTCAAAATTGGCAATGAATTTTCTAAAGAACTAGTGAAATTTTTAAGTTCCTTTAAGAAAATTTGAAAAAATGTTAGATATTTGGATATTTTCAAGATTGATAAAATGTAGAATTTGAGACAACCTTATAAATTTTCTAAAATTGACTAATAGAATTTCAAAAAAGAGTTTGGATAGAAGTTTGAAAAAAAATATTAATAACTTAATAAGTTTTAGTTTGTTAAAGATGAAATTTATATTAAAATAATTATCTTAATGAGCTGAATATTTTTGTTTAATGAAATAAAATGTTTATTTAGTAAAATTTGATAAAAATTAAGAAAATATGTTTTTTAAAAAACATTAGTTTGTATGTAATATAATAGTTAGAATTTGGTAAAATTAATATAGTTAGAAGTAGAAAGTTTAGTATACTTAGTTTACTTAGAAGTAAAAGAGTTTAATTAAGTATAAATTAAAAAAAATTAAAAATGTATAAATAAAAATAATTTTATTAAAATATGAGAGTTTGTTGTATCAAAAGATTAAATATGAATAAATTTGTATTGTTTTTAAAACAGAAAGTTGCAAGAATAAGTTTAATTAGAAATTTCAAAGCTGTTAGTTTAGTAAAATGTTGAGAAAAGTTGAAATGTTTGTTAGAGAAAAGTTGGTTTTAGTAATCTACAGAGAGAGTTAGGTGATTGGCATCTTAATTAGTTAATTTATATAAACTTATAAGTTAATTTTATTATATAATTTTATATTCTAATGTTTAAAAATTTATATTTTAATGAGTTTTTAACTAATTTTAATAATTTTGTTATTATTAAAATCAAAAAGACCTACTTTATAACTTTTACTTAATAATTTAAATTAGTTTACTTAATATAATTTTTTATAAATTTAAATATAAAAAAGAATTACTATTAAATTTATATATAATTTTAAAATAGTATATTCTACTTATAAACTAGTATAATAAATTGCATTTAAGTACTATTAGAGTAGCTAGATGATGCTAAACTTAATTATTAGAAATATTTATATCATTGCAAATATAATTTCAAAAATTTTAATAAAGTATTAGTATAACTATTTAAAAAAAAATTAATTTAATATATAAATAATTACAAAAATATTTTATATAATAATTACAAAATATATTATTAATAAATCTTTATTATACAGATAGCGGTTCTAGGTTGTAGTTAGGTTGTTATCCTTTAAGTGGCAGGTTCAAGATTTAAATCCTTTCTATATTAAAATTTGGAAATTATATTTGTATTATAGTAACTGTTTTCTGTCAATTAGTTAGCCTTATATAGCTGTAATCCAGATACATTAAGTTAGGTTCTACTAACATTAGAAGTTTGCAGTATTTATGCAAAGTGTAATATTATATATATATATAGAAATGTATAATCAATGTTGTATAAGACTTTAGTGCAACTTACAATAAAATTACTAAGTATAAAAGACAAAAAACTAATATAACAGAAACTCATTTAAAAATTTTTAAGTAAAAAGATAACATAAACTTTTGACAGTATCATCAGATCAGTTGAAGCTCACAAAATACTTTTATAGAAACTGAAGATTAAACTGAATATTAAATATATATAAAAGAACATATAACCAACCAGGCTACCAAATTCACTAAGGAAAAGAATACAGAAATATACTATACTAGGCTATCTAAATTGATAGTTTGAGAGAGACTGCCAGTTCTAAGTTACAACTAGTAAAGGATGATGAAAAAGATGCCAAGAAGATAGGTACTAAGGTTTTAGTAAACTTTACAAGAGTAAAAATAGTGTAATATAGTGGTTAAACAGATAATCTTTGTAACTGTAAATGTTAAGTAACTATAATATATTGTATAAAACTAAATTAGTATATATAGAATATAAAGACTTTAGTAAATTTTCTGTTGGGGATAAAGTAGTTTTAAGAGTACTGATCAGCATTCTAGTTGGCTTGTAGGTATAATATTTAGTGTAGAACTTATATAGTAATATATAAGTGAACTACTTAAATTAGATACAAAAAGTGTACATGTAGTTAGTTATAACCTCCAATGTAAGATAGTCCCTGATGGCATGCTGTGTCCTATATACTTGAATAAAAATGTCACATCTTGAAGATAGGAACTTTAACATAAAAAAAAAAATATATATATATTTTTTAAAAAATTAAATATAAAAAAAAATTATAAAAATTTGCAACTAACTATATATAAAATTGATCAATATTGTACTTTACCTTTAAATAATTCATTTACATTATAAGTTTTATATTAGATGTTATATTTTGTAATTTAATTACAAATATTAACTATTTAACCCTTTATAAATAATTTTATTCTGTAATATTATACTATTTTTTAATATATATTAATTAAGAAATTACAAATGCTAATTCATATTTTTAAAACAACTTATATATATATTTAAAATATTATTAATAAAACTTTTTGTAATCTATTCTACAACTAATTTAGTTTTTAACTTTTGTAAAGTTTATATAATTCCAATATCTTCTTTTATAACCTTACTGATACTTTATTCATTCTTAAAAATTATCTTATACTATTAATCTAATTAGCTATATATAATGTAACTTTATGTTCAAATTAACTAATAATCAGATTAGTAATATATTTTAAAATTTTAATAGCTATAAATATAAACAGATATAACAAAACCTAATATAGATATAAAATCCATATAAATTTACTTTGTAATTTTTAATATATAAAAAATTAATTGTCTTTAAACAAATTTAAAATCATTTTATATAATCTTAAATAATATATATATAAAAAAAAAAGCTAACTTAACACTTTATTTTTTCTTTTAATTCTTTAATAGATAGTGGATTTTTGATCGATTCATTATCACCCAGTTCGGTATTTTCAGTTATTTTTGCCTCTAATAAAAGTAGAATCAAATTAATAAACAAACTTATATTACTAACTATTATATTTTATTTAATTTTATAATTTAAATATATTTAAAACAAAAATTATAATATTAAAAAAACAAATTTTTATCTAGATAGTTTGATTAAAGTTATAAACCATTCTACTGCCAAAATTGACATCTAATAATATTCCTTATTTATAAAGTTAGTAAAGATAAAATAAAGTTACTAGCTTTTTTAATAAGGGTTTTAGCTATTAATTTTAGCAGTGATGTCCTATAACTTTAATGAAGCTATCTGTATAGTTCTTTTTTCTTTAATATGTAATTTTATTTTGAAAACGTCGATTATGTTGAACAGAAGCATGTTATTAAACTTACTGAATCTGTTTGTTTTTTCGTCGAATACTGCCTGGATAACATTTGACTTTAAAAATTCAGCCGTTTCTAGTGCTTGATTAATTTGCTGTAATAGAATGATGTAAGCGCGTGATAGTAGAATGAATAAAAAAATTTAGTCAAGAAGGCCGGGAAATTGATTAAGGATAATATGAATACTTTATTGATCTTTTTTTCATCAGTTTCATTTTTATTTTTTAAAAATTCTTCATATGTTTTGCGTCTTGCTTCTATACCATCAAAAGAATTGAGTAAATTAATTTAAAGACGAAATTTACTCTACTGAAGGTAAAAAAAAATACACACCAGATATTGCCAGAAAGTCTCCTTTTTAATACGTCATTAGTATTTCTGAAAACATGTAAAAAGAAATGAAAGCTTTAAGGAACATACCGTGAAATGTTTCTCTTTGTGTTTTTAATAGATATTTATAAGCGTTAAGTACAGCATGTCTCGTTTTTGTGGATGTTATCGACATATTTCAAAATTTCAAAATATTAGTTCTGAAATGTAAATTTATAATTGGTCGAGTAAACTAATACACCAATAGTTATCAAGGTATTTAATCAATGTACGTTAATCTGAATTTATACATTCCGATTGGAATCTATAAGTCTAATGTTCCAGTTTTATAAGTCCAGTGATTCCAACCCAACAAAACCTAAAAATGCATCAATAAAGTCTAGAATTAAACAATTGAATTTAAAAGAAAACACCGGAAATGTTTTTGTAGTTAGTTTATACTGATGATAATGTAACACTTTTGATAATTCTATTAATAGATATTTTATTTGTACAAATACAATTAGGTAATGATTTTTTGTACGTATTAATCATTTTACAATATGTGTACTGGTTAATAATATTATAATTAATTCTACAATATTTAATCAAATAACGATAAGGATTTAAGCTATATTAAAAATAACGAAAAAAAATCAGACTTGTGACCAGCATGATGACTTGTATTTGTTTAATTTAAAGAAAACGAATTGCTTAACAACACCAAGAATCGTATTTATCGCAACAAATCGATAAGGTTTCGTTGTAATATAAATTCTTGCTCCCATCTACTAGATTAGTTAAATCGAGCCAATTAGTTATTAAATAACTTAAAATAAAACTTATAATATATATTTACCTATAGGGCTTAACATCACGTTTATGAAATTCAACATCCAGGGTAATAGGACCCACATTATTTCTAAACTGTTCCCATTTCCAATTTCCATATTTTATTTCTTTTCCTTCTCTCCTTCCATATTCTTCAACAATCACCACAAACAACTGAATATTATCAAAACTTTGCCATCGAATATATTCTAGATTTGCTTTACAATTATTCAAAAATTCTCGTAAAGTTTCGGGTGTGATCCAACAATTAGGCAAATTCAATACTAGATGACGAACTTCTTCACTAAGAATTTGAGAAATTTGAGGTAAGAATTCGTTTGCATCCAAATACGAGTCCATTGAATTTCCAACTGAACCACTAGAAGTTGGAGGTAAGAAAAAATTCTCTACAAAAAATTTTGGATTCTCTTGCACAGAAATCGAATGTAATTTGGTACAACTTTTCATAATATGCAATAATAATGGAAATTCACCCAATGTCTGAATCTGGATTGAAAGTTTTTGTAGATTTTTACAATTTACTATTGCTTGAAAGATTCTCATAGATGGGTATCCAATACCCTGTACATATACTTCCGTTAAAGTTGATTTTGAATTTTCTATCAGGTTTGCTAGTTCATCTATTGGCCTGTCCTTATGATCAAGATGCTCTTTAAATTTAAAATAAATAGTTGTAATATTTGGAAATTTGGCAAAACCTAACGGGTATAATAGTTCTGCAGTTAAATTTGAACAATAATGAAATACGATTCTTTCAAGTTTACAACATTTGGAGATACTATCTAGAGATGCATCAGTAAAAACGCAATCCCAAAATTCTAAAGTTCGTAGAGACATAGATTGAGTTTCTAAGGAATTTAATATTTCCTTGAGCGAAGACATATGATGAATTTGTAAATGTTCTAAACGTCGTTGTGATTTAATTAGATTCTCAAATTTACAGTAATCACCAAAATTATAAATTATGTTGAATGATCTAATATTATGACAATATTTCGACAAGATCTCATAAAATCGTTTGCCTTCACCACCCGAGCTAAATTGACGCAGTTTACTTAATGCAAACTTTGCAGATTTGTAACGATCTAACGCAAGAAACTTGTTTGGGTTTTCACGTAAACAAAAGTCACGTTCTTGCATTGCTAGATTGAGACTAAGTATATTTGGCGATCTAGTTAAAAATAGTTTGAATAATTCTCGAGATAGATTTTGAGTTTGGCGAGTAAATAAAATCCATTCAGCATCAGTGTATCGACGTTGTTTTGTTTCACCTTGATCACGAAATTGAATGTCTAAGATATAGGATCTTATTCCACAACACATGTAGTATACTGAAATTCTACGTATGAACGAAGGATAATCAAATAATGGAGGTTGGAATTTTTGAACCGATTGGAGGCCGATAGTTGCATTTGAATCAGGAGGGAAAAATGGAAGGTAAGAACGAACAAGCTTTGGAGAATAAGAAAGATGGAAAGGTTTTGACCAGAGAATTCGAGCGGCAAATTTACACCAGTAACGGTTTACTAACATACAAGAAAATAATGTATTTTTATCATCATCTAGATTTTCTAAAATTTTTTCTAGAACTTCAGCAAGTATTTGACATGCCATTTTTATTAATTAAATGAAAATTAAAATTTGGGAAAAAAATGTAGAATATATGAATAACGAAAAAGAAAACGAAGATAGAATAAAGGAATAGAATATATATTTAATGTCACACCACAAATCGGAAGAACCATGCAGGTGTAACCATGTACGCAATAAAGACCATAGTCTACCGCGATCAAAAGAGAATAAAAAAAATGGTGTGCGACTTTTTATTTCGAAAACCTCAAATTTGGTAAGTCAATGATCGTACGTATCTACGTCACTCAAAAGATATAATTTAATGATGCACCAATTTTGCACGTATGTTTCTTGATTTGGTGTTAAACAAACAGATTGAACAGATTTTGTGTCATGTTTACTCAACAAAGTGAATAATCGGTTGCCATAAATAATAGAGGTTAACTTCAATTTTCCTGCGGTATTTTCGTACGAACGCATTTCTATCATTTTCAATGAAATTTCCGACTAAGGGATTTTACTATACACTACTGGGAATCTTTAAAGACGATAGAGGATGCACACCGTAGGATTATCGAAGAGGGGACGACTATTTATAGCATGTACTTTGACGTATTTGTAATTTGAATATGTACAAATATCGGAATAAGCCGTTATGAAAAAATCATTGGCGTTTGCATGCGGGTAAATGTACTCTAATGACAAATGTGGTTATATTTAAAATTTTATTATCGTTATATATTCTATTGAATATGACGAATTTAACTGTTTTTGCTCATTCGTGACCATGGATCAACATGAATTATCGCAAAATAAATGCTATATATGCTCACATGTCAAGCAAAAAAAAACCTTAGGATTGAATACACTAAACGTATTATAAAGTTGTTAAATTGCCCACTGTTAAAATAAAAACTTGTTTTAAAAGTTTATTACATACGTACACATACCGATGTAAACGTTTGAAACAAGAAAAAACGCGCTTATCCCTTAAATTGTTTAGGGGGCAAATTTGCCGCTAAAAAAAATTTTTTTTATCCGATTCTGTAAGATTGTGTCTGACTTCTTAACCTCTCTTTTAGAATTAAAGAATACTATATTGCAAATCGACTCTGATTTCATCTCAAAAGTACAATGAACATTTAAGTAGCACAATGTTCAAATTTCAAAAAAGATGATCGTTATCAAAAACTCTAAATGTGAACGTTGCATTTTCTGCAACTGTCAAGTGCAAGTTTATACCTCCCATTTTTGAAATACCAAGATGTATACTGATGACGAGGAAGAGTATATGACACTTCTGATGTTTTGCAAGTGTCTTTTAAATAACCAAAATTAGAGTAGGAAGAAAGAGAAAAGAATATAAAAGTGTTTGTAAAAGAGGTTAAAAATAAGCAGGAATTGTATAAAAATTATTATAACTATCTTCGAATTTTGAGCCACCAGTTTGCTCAAAACAACTATACTAGAAGTCTATTAATAATTTCTATATGGGTCGAGTTAATAGAATCCAAGCAAATATTTTTTAATAAGTTTTTTTAAAAAAACTTTAAAAGAATAACTTTTTTAACAGCTATTTAATTAATTTTAATAATTTATTTAAATTAATTCTACAAGTTTATAAAATTTATTTAAAAAAATTTTTATCGAATTTGATTGAGTTTTGTTTGTTTAAAATTGCAAAAAAAAATTTATTTCTTAAACCGTCATGCAAATTTGCATGTTAAAATTTTGGACAAAAATTTAATAAAATTTCTAATTTAATTAGTTATAATGATTTTCAAAGATTCAATCACATGGCGCATTTATAATTACTGCATGTGGCCTGAACAGAAGTACAAATTCACATGATGATATTATTTTTTTTAATATTAATGGTGATGATGATATCATTTTACTTTTGAGTCATCTTATCTTTTTATAGTGTTTTGGTTCTTGAACAACTATGTATTATCTAATCTATTAAAATTTTTTTTTTTTGTATTGTTATAGAATAGATTTTATTGTTTTCATATTACTATCATTATATTATTATCTTAGTATATTTTTATTATTGTATTTTTATTAGTTATAGTTGCTTAATAATTACTTAGTCATTTAGTTACTTAATTACTTAATTGTTTAATATTTAATTATTTAGTTACTTAGTCACTTAGTTACTTGGTTATTTAGCTTATAAATATATAAACTCTACTAAATTCTTTAAGTTCAAAAAAATAATACAATAGTTAATAAACAGTTAACAAAAACCAGACAATTCTTTTTTTTTTAAATCCTATAAATAGTATTTTTAATCTTTTAAAACAGATGTTTAAAAATAATTTTTTTTATTATTATTATAATAATTTTAATTATAAACTATAAGTTATATCATTATTTCTAATACATTATATTTTATAAAATAAATTAAAAAGTTTATTAATAATATTAAATATAATAACTGTTATTTTAAACTATACTTTTAAAATTATATATACTATAATATTAAGGTTTAAAAATAAATTTATTATATTTTAATTAAAAAATATTTAAATTATATAATTTTTAATTTATTATTTTTTTCTATTATACAAACTATATTTTAGCTATTAAATAAAACTATTTGTTATATTATTTTACATATAAGATAAAATTTTTTAAAATTTAAAAAAATTTTTATTAAAATAATTTATAAATAAGTACTTGCAAATATAAAAAATATTGTAATTTTTTATATAAAATATACTTATATAACAAGTTTATAAAATTAATAATTCATTATTAATATTTTTAAAAAAAAAAAATTAATAATTTGGATATGGGTCCTATAGCTTAGCAGTTAAGCTTTTATGTCTTCATAGTCTAAATTGATGATTCAAGTTTGGCTAGAAGCCAAATCTAAAAAAAAAGATTTTAGCTTTTATAACTTAAAAAGAGAACCAATAATTGAACACAAAGTTCTGTAAACAAAGACCAAGTACAATATATGATTAGAATAGAAATTTATAAAAAGAGACCAATTTTGCAAAGTGTAGGTCTTATATATGTAGCAAAAGTACAGAAGGTTTTGTTATACAAAGAATTGTATAAATAAATCTTTTAGAAGACATAAAGCAATATCAACCAACATTTTTGTACTTATTAGCAACTTGGATAAAACATCTGGAATCATAATCTTGTAATTCTGATTATATCAAGACTCTTTGAAAGTGTGTTTGAGAAACATATAAATAAATCTGAAAAGTATATACTAAAAAAAAAGCTAGTAAGAGAGACTTATTTGAAAGAATAATATCTAAAATAATACAAACTAAAGTAGTAAGTAAAGCAGTATATGCAAGAAAAATCTATAATAAAGAATTAATTATTTCAAAATTAGAAACATCCTTTGGCACTATAGAATATCTAAAAATAGAAGATAACTATACTGTATAGAGAAGGTAGCCTGTTCTGTATATCTAAAAGTACCAAGCTAAAACATTGTTTATACCTATATGAAAGTTTATGACAAAACAAAGAAGAACTTACTAATATAAATTCTGTACTAATTAGAGTTAAGATACCTTAAATTAGAAGTAGTAATAATATTATAATAGCTAATAGCTAGAAGAGGTCACTTAAAATATAGCCTACATATATCATAAAAAAATGTACTTAAGAAGCAGGTTAGGTGTACAATCTATTAAAAATAATGCTAAAACCAAATGATAATGCAACTTGGCAGCAGCAACAGATACCTAACTTAAGATATATGCTACTAATATATAAATTAGAAAAGTTAGTAGTAACAACAGGACCTTGGCTTAAGATATATGCTAAAAGAAGTACCTTTTAGATACACTAAAGATAGTAGTTCAAAAAGAATAAACAACTTGACAAACTAATTTAAAAGTTGTTAAAATAGGTTATAAGATATGAAAAAAATATGCAGATTATTTAACATAATTAGATAAAAAGCAAAATTCAGATTAAGTATAGATGGAACATAATATAGAACTCTGATAGGTTTAGATTGCAGATAAATATGTCTAAGTTTTATGTTCTAAAATAGATATATAATATATAGCAATGAGGATGGCGATCCTAGTGTAGTGGTTGGATTGTCATCCTCCAAGTGGCAGGTCTAAGGTTCAAATCCCACCTAC